CCCTCGGTCCGTCCATCCGTCCCGGTCCCGGTGCCGCGTCCCACCGCGCGCCCGCCTCTCCACGTGGCCGCCTCTCCGCGGCCCCGCGCCCGCTCCCGAGCCCGCCCGACCCGTCCAACCCGTCCCGCCGGAACCGGGCGCGCGGCCCGTGCCCCGTTGGCGAGCAGGGCACCGCTGCCGGATGCCCACGCGGGTCCCCTGCCCCACACAGCCCCTAGGCGAGTGCGGGCCATCGCGGGGCACCCCGTGGGGGGGGGCAGCGGGCGGATGGCGGCCCCCCCGCTCCCGGAGCGGGGCCGGTGCCGCCCGCGACGCCCACCGCTCGGCGCCGGCGTCTGCCTCTCCAGCTTGTGGTATTTCGCTCGCCGGGAGCCGCGCCGGAGGCAGCGCCGCAAACACAGCGGCTGCCAGATTGTGCCGCCGCAGCCTGGCACGCGCCCGCGCCGCAGCCCCGGCCCACGCGGGACGCGCCGTGGGGTGCGCGGCGCCGCGCGGGGCAGCGCAGCGCAGCTACCATGGACAGCGCCCCGGCTGCCCTGCGGCCCCGCGTGGGGCTGCTTGCGGTGGTGGTGGGGGCGCTGCTGCGCCCCACTGGTGTAGCCTCCCCCCGGGACTCACTCGTGTTTCCCCGTGGGTGGGTGACGCTGCCCGTGGGCCGCGTGGGTAGGTGCCCCGCGCGGCCAGCGGGTCCCAGGTGGGCATCGCTCCCACGTGGGTTCCCTCTGCTCCTCGCACACACCCGTCCCCTGCGGGCTCAGCCCACGCGTGGGTGCAGGTGTCTCCAGTGGGCCCCTCCTCGTGGGTTCCGAGCGCGCAGCGGCGCGCGGATCCCCCTCGGGGCACCCCCCCCTCCCGACAACTCCCGTCGAGGCCCCCCACGAGCGGCATTTCCCCGTCTCCAGTGGGCTCCCGTGTCCCACGTGGGAGCCCCGCGGTGCGTCCCGCGCCGCTCAGGGACCCCCCAGCGTTCTGCTCCCCGCGTCCCGAGGACCCCCTCGCGCACAGCCGCGTCCCGCGTGGACACCCGGCGTGGGAGCCGCGTCCCGCGAAGGGTTAAGCGGCGGGGCCGGCAGCGGGGGGCGGAGCGCGGCCGCCCCGGGATAAGGCGGCGGCGCCGGGCTCGGCTCAGACCCTCCGGGAGCCGC